GGCTGGTCGAAGAGCACGGCTCCAGCTCTTCAGAGGTGGTGCCGCCGGCGATGCTGGAGATGGGTGCATTATTCCCTTCGTTTTCAGGAGGTGGAGGAGTTGGAGGAGGCCGTGTAGCAGCTGCACCTTGCAGCCATTTACGTATATCCATTACTTTATTACTGTCCGACAGTCCGAGCATTAGCTTCGTCTCACTGACTTGCTAATTATGCGCGCATTTTTTGAATTAATAACAACAAATCAAAGGCCGGGGTCATTGGTCAAGAAACACACCAATCACCAGTGAGCACACCTCAGGCTGTGTTTTTTATTTATATTCTTTATTTCTGATTTATTTCACACAAAAAAGATTTAGTGGAAACATTTTCACTAAAAAAATTAATTAAAAAAACGGCAAAGTGGCAGGGCTTGCCTGGCCTGGCAGGGGGGGCACAGTGACTCATTTGGGGGGGCATGGCCCGCGAATGCCCACCCATGACGCCGACCCTGCTTGAAGCAGCATATATTACTTCAACTCTCTCATTCAATTTAGGGTTGTGACTGATCACATTTCCTGTCCGTCCACATCACTGTGCCATGTTGAAGTCCTTTTAACGATCTAATATCATCAATCAAATTTCGCAAATGTACTGATTTATTTTCACTCAAGTTATTTAATGTAATGTATTGGTCTCTTTCTCTCTCTCTCTGTGTGTCCCCAGCAAATGGACCATGCAGTGTATACATTTGAGCAGATTCTCCACCAGAGTCTGGAGTCTCAGGGTACAGAGGAGCTCTGTAAGGCCATCCAGCGCTGCCAGGACAGAGTCATTAAGGTACACACACACACTCACAGTTTACTAATAACCTAAAGAAAAAACTGATGTTTTGAAGTGGGGGTGTACGAGGTATTTACCCAGAGTCAATGTGTAACCCAGGCCGAATTGGCAGAATTTGATCGTCTGCGGCCTCTTTTCCTGATCACATTTAGTTTGGGAACAAAGCAGTTGACTCAAAAAATATTTCTTCTTAAAAAAACTCCTTTGGTGTTAGTAATGCTTTAGTGTTTGTTCAATTATTTTGGGTTCAGAAATTTGACTATGACAGCAGCACAGTGAGGAAGCGATTCTTCCGCGAGGCTCTGCTGCAGATCTTCATCCCCTATATGCTGAAGCAGCTCAGCCCGGCATGCGGCTCGGTGAGTCCCAACCTGCAGGATTAATGAGACATGAATGCCATCATTTGGTATGTGTGTGTATATACAATCCTGAATAACACAACAAAATTAAACGTAAAAAGAAATAAGGTAAGAGTGTAAATATAAAACACTAATATACGCTTCCCATAGTTGTAGTAGTTTGGTATAATGAAGTCTAGTTTATTTCTTTAAAGGTCCCATGTCATGCTTTTCCGGTTATTACCCGTCTCCCTGTGTGTTATGAAGGTTTTTCTGTATGTAAACGGTCTGCGGAGTCAAAACCCTCAAAGTACACCCTGTAGCGAGTATAACTCTAACACAAAACCCAAAAAACGCCTCGTTGGAGATACGTCACTGTCCATAGATTCAAATGGACCAATCCGTGGAGCCGCTACGTTAAGCCCCCGTTGATTGGTCCAAATTGACCAATCCACTGACTTCCTCACACACACACTCAGTGCAGGCAGCTCTGCTGATCTCTCCTCCCTGGCTACAGGCTGATAACAGACAGTTGGGATCGCGGCGAAATTCTCTCTGCAGACCCATTCTCACAGCATTTATCAACCTTTTTCTTACTCAATATCAAGCCACACTTATTGTTTTTACTTCGGCTGTGACTTTGTGTGTGCTCAGGGTAAGTTTCGCTGTGTTTCGCTGTGTATCGCTAAACAAGGAAACCACACCTCCACGGAGCTCAGTGCGATTCACAACGTCACAGGGAGGGTGGGGGCTGGAGCTATTGGAGCTACAACGAGCCGTTAAAGGCAGAGAGTGAAATTCAGTGAATACACGTAGTTTACAGAGATGCTGTATGAGAAACCAAAGTGATTTTGGAAAATTGCACAATATAAATCTATTCTAGTAGACCTCAACAATGGAATTATGATCAGTGGAAATGGCCATGAAATGGGACCTTTAAAGGCAATGTGAGCGTCCATTCTCATTGGATAACGGAGAATTGTACACCCGTAAAT